GCATTTCCAGAAAAAGATGACGCTTATTCGCGATCTGCTCAGAAGTCGCCAACTTATCGCGGCTAAACGGCGACTTTTTCGAAAAACGCGATAATCGCCGATTTTTAAACGACATTGAAGACATGGGGATGTGCTTGACCTACCAGAATATTAAACAACAACACACGTTCTCATGATCCGAAGAGAAATTTTTGTTTGATGAAACAAGATTATGATGAAGAATTTCTCGCGTATAATACTACTCTTGAGAAAGTACCTGAAGTATCAAAAAGAAACACAGCAAATGAAAACGAAAAATCGATTTTAATGTGCTCATTTGCAATTTGCAATGGAATTATCGGGGTCAAAAATCGTGCAAATGTTTCACGGCGTAAATATCCGAAGCCGAAAGAAAACATGACTCTGGATGAAAACGGCAAATTCACCAGTTTTGTTCAAATTACTCGATGTTCCTTTCAGCGGCCGTTCTGCATCATGTGAAATTATCCGCTAAAAATGCACCGCATAATTCAAAGCAACGCCAAACTGATTCAGTGCACCAGAAATCAAAATTTTTTGTTGCGCCATAATGTAATAGTATTTCGAGCGATATTGTACGAGATTGATTAAATTATTTTGCAAAAATCATTCATGTCAGTACATTTGATTATCAAACTTTAAAACGAGCAGTGACCATTATTACATTTAAAAATCATGATTCAGTGGATGAAATTATCGCTTCTGATTCACCTCTCGATCCACTATTCATTGAATATGTCGAAAAATCGGAAGAAAATGATGAATGCTGGAATCTGATAAAACAAGTCCACATTATATTAATAATTTGAATATAATTTGAAAAAAAAATGGTTAGGCGGCGAGGATTCAAACAATGCATTGTCCAGTCGTGCCGATTTATTGTTTTATTTTTGCAATTGCCTTCAACAATGTTTAAAATTAAGTGGGTGTCATACGTTACTACTCCTTATTCAAACATTTAAAAAATATTTACGAACATATGCCAATCATGTTTTAAATAGCCATTTACCAAAGTAAAAGATTAATTCAATTAACTCTAACCCCGAGGGAAAGTTTTTTAATAATATAATATATAATATCTATTACACTTTGTATTTGTACAATTTTTACTAACGCCTACCCATAAAACGTTTAGCTGTTGAAAGTATTCTTTAGAATTGTACGAATACAAAGTGTAATAAATATTATATATTAAATTATTAACAATTTATTCTATATTGATATCAAAATAATCAACATATTATTCTTTATACCGACATAAAAAAATTTTTTATCTCCGTTTTATAACAGATACATGTGCGTTAGACCCAGAATTAGTCGAGAGAATATCAGATTTCAAGTTAAAATCTGATATTCTCTCGACTAATTCTGGGTCTACATATAACTGAGCATACCCAACGTACGATTGTTCCATGATGGAACAATCATACGTTGGGTATGCTCAATTATATGTACAACAGAAGACTGTCTGAGAAAAATTCGTCATGATTCGAATGGTTACAAGAATTCTGGTAGAAACCACAATCAATTTTGAAGCGGAAAGAAATATTTATAAAAGGTAATTAAAAATACCCGCCTGTAAATATGTATACTTACAATAGGTTTGATGAAAGGGTGGTCATGTGTATTTGTGGAGTATTCCTGGGGTTGGGAAGACTGAGTTAGTTGATTTTTTTATGAAGGGTGAGTCTGTGTGGCGTCCAAGTTCTGTTAATCAGTTTATGTGGTCTGGTTTAACTGAGAATTATGATTATGTGTGGTTCGAAGATTTTCGTGTTGTTAACAAGTATGAAATGAGTCGAATGTTGAGTTTGGTGGATGGTAAACTGGTTAGTATTCAAGGAAAGTACAAGGAAGAACAGTTGATTATTAGCAAGGCAAGGTTTATATTTACGCCGAATGAGCGTGATGATGAGAATTATCCTGAATTTAGTCGTCGTGTTCAAGTATTATGTATTGATCACCAGATGTTTTGTTGTCCGGGTGGTGGAGTGTGTGTGATGTGACTGTGAGTCCACCAAGCCCTGAATCACGTCGTATTATGATCACTGAGAACAGTTATCTTGAGTAACTTACTTTATTGTACAACATTTGAAATAAAAAACAGAGTTAGGTACCGAAGAATAGTTCTATTTGTGAACCTGAGAATTCTAGTACGTATGTGAAGTTTATATACATGTGCATCTCAGTGTCTTTGTGGTAATTGTCTGCGTCTTGCCATATTATGTACAGGTTGTCTGAAAATTGTGCTCCTAATGTGTTTGAGCTGAGTAGTTGTTTGAGTGCAAAAAAAAGTAAAGGAAAGTTATATAGAGTTACAATTACACATGTGGATTGGAGTAAAGAAGATACAGCATTTTGGTTTGATAACGATGATATAGTGAAGAGATACTGTGTTAGTGAAGAGTATCATGATGATATGTTGGCGCAGCATCATCATATGTTTATCGAATATTCCGAAGATGTGAATTTGGATTATGTACGTGAGTGTGTACGTTGTTTGGCTGATGACCTGACTATTGATGTTGCAGTTTGCAAGTCGGTTTGTAACTGGTTGAAGTACTAAGTACGATTTAATCCAGTTAGGAAGAATGTGCGTGTTGATGAATGTAGTTTTGGTGTGCAGCTGGTAGATCATGTGGAGAGTTATTATATTGGTAAATTCCAAGTCGATTACATGGATTCATTTTTGATTATGCATGGCAACAATAGGTCTATCATAGTGTTATCAACATATGAGACATAACATATGAGCGTTATCATAAGCTTTTTACCATAGAACAACCTCACAGTGTATTCAGATATTAATTCAAACTTTAAAAAATGTATGTGAACCAGTTTTGATCTTCATGACGAAGATATTTTTGTTATTTAGCTCTCTTGATATGTGCTACTAGTTATTTTTGTTCTAAGCTTTCATGGCAAACACTAGACATTATTGAAGAACACAATACATATATGACATCAATTACGTATCAATTGCAAATAATTGTGCTCAATATTTGTGATCATCTTGTTTCAATACAGACAATATTTTGCACAGCTTTGCAGCGCTTGTCTCACATCAGCTTCCAGTAACACTGCCTTCCATCAACAGCAGTCACCGAACAGATTCATATTTTTATTTTTCATTTTATACCCTGTATATTTCTATTTGGCTCTTGATAAAAATATTAATACGTTTGATAAGAAAATAAAAGTTGAGAAAAACTGAAAAATCATCGTGTCTGAAATTAAATTTCAAAACACCAACAACCCTCAGTTGAAAAACTTGTTATCTGCATGACAACAGAGGGACAAAACCTAAGCACGCGATTGAACAAAACTAATGCAATGTATTGATTTAAAAAGTAAAATTCACTTTTTTTTTGTCGGATTTAACTTGATCTGGTAGCTCTCAGTTGTAGACGGATAAACCGTTGCTCTCTTCGTTTACCTGTTCTGCGTTTCTGCGACGGTAATTTTTCGAATTACATCTACCACTATATACATTGCTGTCACAGTATATAAGGCGACCTCTGTCAAATATAGATGTCAGTACCTTGCATGCGGCGAAGACGTTCTTTATCCCATATTAATGCTTTTTTCGACAAAAAAATTCGCGGGAAAGAAGGTTAAGATAGGCAGACAAGAAGCGCTATTATCTGCTGTTAGCATCTTTTAATAAGTATTTGAGCTTTATCGGCAGGTTATTCTAAGATCCTAGTAAGATTTGAGTAAGATTCTCACTAGGGGCAGAAGAGAAAATTGAGCATAAAATGGGTACAAAGAACATAACGAGATTTCTGTACAAACTCTAATTTATGGTGGTTTAGTTTCCGAGATTCATTTTCAGGAAAACGACATGAATTTTGGAAAATTAAGAGTGATACATAGTGTAAACAGAAGAAATCATCGTTAGTCAGACATATGATCGATCACATATCGGTAGACATTTTCGCCTTATTTTTTGAATATCTCAACAACAAAAAGAAATTTTCAGCTGACTTCTTTAGTATATATAGCACTTCACGTGCTTGAAAACAGGTAGAAATCTGAACCCAAATGGACTTACCAACACGGAGTAATAAGCAAAAGAAAAATGAAAATGTCGGCGGATATTTAGTCTGAAAATCACTTTTTTTCAGTAAAGACTCTATCGTTATGCTTTTACTACACACGCATAAGACGTTTTCGTGAAGTTGTAGACCGCAACTCTCTATCTTTCTGCGCTAACCGCAGATCTCTGGCTGTTATACCTACCGAGACAACTCAACTTTAATGTCGGTGGACAGAAAACTGCTAACGTGACTGCCAGGTCAATATTTTTGATTTTTCGACAAGAAGACATGTTCGAATTTCAACTCAAGGCACATATTCTGAAAGCCTGATTTGTTGTCTACAGAATCTAGTGTTATCTCAAGTTTGAAAGTTAAACCCGCTTTGGAAAAAAACAAATTTTGCTTGCTCGATAGCGCTAAAAATCAGAGTTTTACATCATGTTTGATCAGCATCCGAACACAAGCGGAAAAAGATCGTGAAGTGTAAGTCAACATCATTTTAAAACTCATTTTCTTTTATTTCTCGTTGTTTTTTGTTTTTAAAGTGAACGTCTGAAAGAAGTTGAAGATAAAGAACAGAAAGTGCGCTATGATGAACGCCATTGGACAGACAAAACATTACAGCAAATG